AAAAAAAAAAAAAAAAAAAGTTACCTTCCCAGTGAAAATAATAACCCCAATAGAGTTATCATCTCTCGCGTCGTTGAACGCGCGCATTAGCTCTTTCACCGTTTGTGGCCGAAAAGCATTTCTCCTTTCTGGCCTATTTATCGTTATCTAATAAACCAAAATAATAAAAAAAAATAAAAAATTATAGTCTTAAATATTCGCTACAAAAATATTTTTACTGTGGTAAAACTACAACTTACCTTAGCGATGCCTTCCCCGGCGGCTTTCTCGTAAATAATGTCGGTAAATTCCTTGCCCGACTCATCCAAAGCGGGTTTCCAAGTCGGGTCGTGGGTCGGGACGTCCCCGTGGACCCGATGGTACGTGTCGTTGAACCCGGAACTGCAGCCCGAACCGGATATGAGGGCGTTATTCGGACCCTGGCCTTGAGGCGCAATTAAATGTCTGGCGACGGACGCCATTCTCCGGTTGACTATCTCGGCGTCTTTCCCGTTCATCTCGTCGGAGTAATTTAATCGAACGGTCGAAATTAAATAGAACTGAAATTTGGTGCACAAATGAGGATAACTCAAGGTTGTATTTATAGGACTTAGTTTAACAAGAGCTGTAATTGTGAAGTTGATGGTTTGAAGATTTTGAGAGATGAGGAATTAGATAAGCTTTTAGTAAAATATTTGTTGGGTGGAATGACCATACAGCCCTTGTGTTGACATTTTGAGTTTTAGACTTTGAGTAGTTACTCATTCCAAATTAAATTTGTTGTACAAAGTTAACCTAATCTAGTTGATTTAGTCTGAGTTATTTGTGTAACAAATCATTAAAGTTTGGTGATTTATCTAGTGTATGCTAAAAACTATGCACCATGTCAAAGTAATCCTGAAGGGGCAGATTACGTGATGACGTGGAAAATTGTAATTCTTCCATGTCAAAGTCTTATACATCTATGTCGTTTCAATTCTTGTCCACGTCATCATGTAATCCGGCCCCTTGGAATTACTATACTAAAATTGACGAAAATTATAACATAGTGGATTACTTTTTGTGAGGGAAAAGGTGGTGTACCAAAACAGGACAATCGCCAATTTAGATGACCAAAATTGAATTTTTGTCTTTACATTTGCTCTGAATAATACCTTGCTCTGAAAAATTAGCTGATAAGCTAGCTACAATAAAAATTTAAAACTTGTAGAATAACCCACGTTGAGTTTTCTCGCCAAAATTCATTTGTCAAAGAAATCCATGCATTTTCAAATATCCCACATTTTTTTTCTTTGGCGAAAAATTCAAACAAGCAAAAGATATACTAATATTATTCTGAGTTTGAACATTGAATTGATTTTGTATAATCTATTTCTAATCGTGTTAGCGTTTAGCACTTCATAAATTGACTTTATACTAATAAATTATCTTCTCTCCAAATTTCTGCTATGTACTTAACATCTCATTAAATCCAAACGAAATCGCTCTAAAATACGTTGGACCGTTTTATTTAATTCGATCTCCTCTTCTTCATAAATTATTGGGATTTTGTGTGTTCTTACATCGATAACCATTACCTATATTATCGTATACACAATACTTGGTTTGAAAATTGTCAAGTTATCTAACTATCCCATCTCGAGCCTAATCAGTTTTGCCAACGACCTCACATTAGCCTTTGAACCGAACAAACGAGTTATCAATCGAATCGAACTCTTGAATCGGATTCCATCACATTAGGAGTTAAACTTTGTGTTCACCATGGTCAAATGTCAAAGGCATTGCGTGATACACGCACTTGTGTAGCATTAATTGGGAATGATGGCATGAATCACATTGTATGGAGATCTGCAATTGGATACAGTTTCTATTATTATTATTATTATTATTATTAAATTATTGATCATGGTAATGGCAGGCTAGTTATTTATTCTTCTTAAATTAATTATTCTTTGTGGACTGAAAGGACATAAGAAAACATTAATTGGGCCAAGCTGCAAGAATTTTCATGATGACGGTTGTGTGATCATGTCTCAACATAAGTGGGCTTACACTAGGTTTGGGCTTCAAGTTATCCAAGTAACGGGGTTCCTTATATCAATCAACGAGAAAATCAGTCAACTCACCAATAAATATCTTTTAAATTTTACATTTACAAAACTTACTTTAAATCACATATATACTTTCACTATCTAGAAAAATGTTTTTTTTATGATTTATTCTATCATTGATTTTTAAAATATATTAATTTTTATTTGTAACTCGTTTATGTATGGTTATTTATCACTTTATTACGAATAATCATTAAAATGATATCCTCCTCCTCTCTATATATTATTCCTGAATGCGCTGAGCCTACATGGCTGCTTCTGATACTTCGGAATCCTACTTGGCAAAGTATCATTCTTTGTAATTAGGTTTGGACAAATAATATTGATATATTAATAATATAATAATTAGTAATCTAGGTTCAAACATTTCATAAATATTAAATAGCTAACTTAAGTATTTTAATATCATTTGTACTAATATAACCTTTAATTCTTTGTAATTTTACATTGTGAGACATTAAGTGACTAATATATCCCTTACTTTTGATTTGTTTCCTTCAATTAGTTATTTAATTGTAAATGTATTTTAAAAGTTTATAAGTTTTGTATTTCTTAACAGTTTACATTTAAAATATATCAAATTAATCATCTTTTGATGATCTTCGATTTGACGTCCATATTGTATATATGAAATAAATAAATTATAGTTATCTTTATAATAATAAAAAATAATAATATTTATTAAATTCATTAGAAAAATAAAATTATTTCTTAATTGATATATTTATGTTTAATTTAGTTATATGTTGTAAGTTAAAAAATTATTATAATATAACACAAGTAAGTCGTACAAATAAAAAGTGTCATACTAAATATATAATAATATATATATTTTTATAAAAGGTAATTAGATTTTCAATTACTTTTTCTCGTTAATTTTAGATTTTAAGAAAAAAATTAGCAAACACCCGTGTAATACACGGGCGTTGTACTAGTTATAAATATTTCAATATTTCTTCATAGTCTTTGATCGAAGGTGTGAGATCTAGGAATCAAAATCGCAAAATTTAGAGATCATGAGATTAAGACAGCGAGAGATCACAAAAATCTTCAATATTGAGATATCAAGATCAAGACACAAACACTCTCCGACATTTTGGATCGTGGATTCCTAGCTTGTTCTCCAGGTCGGATTTGTTGGCATTGGATAGTGTATCGGAGAACTAGATTGCGTGGATACCATAGTTAAGAGACAAAGATTACAATTTTTTTTTAAAAAAATTCGTTTATCATTCACGCAACTTATGGTCTAATTTATTCATATACCATAGTCTAATTTATTAAAAATAACAATAATCTAGGGTGCCGTTGAAAATCGCCTTTATAACATTCATTAGAATAATAAAATTATTTCTCAATTGATATATTTATGTTTAATTTAGTTATATGTTGCAAGTAAAAAAATTATTATAATATAACACAAGTAAGTCGCACAAATAAAAATTGTCATACTAAATATATAATAATATATATATTTTTATAAAAGGTATTTAAATTTTTAATTACTTTTTCTCATTAATTGTAGATTTTAAGAAAAAATTAGCAAACACCCGTGTAATACACGGGCGTTGTGCTAGTTTTTTAAAAATATAGTAGAAAGGTGAAAGAACACGTGTCAATCCTATACAGTTTCTGAAGTTGAGTTAAAAAGAACAAACAAATTACCAAAACACTATGAACAAAGTAAATGGACCAATTTATGAGACAAACAAATGTTACAAAACATTTGTTACTAATATTTACTAGCTAGCAAAAGTACCAAAAATAGGGCCACCCAATCCAAGCCTACTACACATACCAAAACCAAAGGGAAAAAAAAAATTATAACAATATAATCAATTTACATACCAAGAAATAATACCAATTCATATCTCAACCACACCTAGCAATAATCTCCATCCCCTTGAATCTTGTTGCTCGATGACGGCTTCCCGGCCATCAAGCACTCGACTGGTGGCACCGTTGGTGAGTACAACTTCCCGAACGCCCGCCAACAAAATGGGTCGTACATACGATACCTATCTAGTTGCGGCCTCAATTGTATGCCCGTCAGGGTCACGTCCGTGCACGGTGCATGGTCGCTGCACGCGAAGTGCACGGGCTTCACCGTGTACGTCCCGCGTATGTCCACATAGTTGATTCCGGATAGGGCTACAGCCGATGTTTGGTTCTTGCATGCGGCCTTGTCGCAGTAATACTGGTCAATGACTATTGGGAGTTGGACTTCAGATACCTGGATATTCAAGAATTGGACACCCTGGACCGATCCAGACCCACCCTGTAAATAGATTATGACTCAATGAGGTTAGAATTGAAGCATTCAACTCTACAGATGACTGCAGTGCAGTTATCGGGTTTTTCGTCGTTGAGTCAACACACAAACGAGCAAATAGACTGTAACTCGATTGGGTTAGAGTTGGAGCATTCAACACTACAGATGATTGCAGTGCAATTAGCGGGTCTTTCGCCGTTAAATTAACACACAAAGTGCAAATCGATTATGACTCAATTGGGTTAGAATTGGAACACTCAACCCTATAGATGACTCCAATGTAGTTATCAAGTTTTTCACCTTTGAATTAATACTTGTGCATATTTTATCACTGAATTGGGTTAGAGCTGGAGCAATCAACAATACAGATGACTACATGACTACAGTACAACTATCAATTTTTTTGCCTAAGTGCAAAATTGATTATTACTCAATTGGGTTAAAATTTGGGCATTCAACCTACAGACGATTGCAATGCAATTATCGAGTTTTTCACCGATAAATCAACATACACGTACAAATATATTTTAACTCAACTGGGTTAGAATTTGAAGTATTCGATCTTTATAAGTGACTACAATGCAATTATTGAGTTTTTTTTTTGTCGTTGAATTAACATAGACACAAATGTGTAAATTCAACTGTGAAAAAAATCCAAGGACAAATTAAAATTTAGTTCTATTTGCTATGGATTATATTTTATTTATTTATTTTTTGTTTGGTACCTGCCATGTTTTTATTCGGACCCCATTCATGGTATTGTGCATGATAATGTCACGGACGGTAACGTTAGAGACGCAGGCTTTGGTGTTGTCTTTTCCAAGTCCACCTATGCTGATGCCGTGGCCGGGCCCACAATTGACATTGTGTATGTATACGTTTGTGCACCCTGTTTGTATTGATACACAATCATCCCCTGCAATTTAGGAAAAGTTTTGTCCTCAGACGAAATATTGAAATTTATGATCTCTAATTTTTGTTGAAATTGAAAATTTCAAGTCAAATGGTCACTAAGAGAAAAATTTTGTCCTGTAAATTCATTTTCCTGCATTTTTTAATGCCTATTCTGTTCTCAAACATTATTATGAATAATAAGTGTAATTAGGTTAAACTCACCACAAGCAAGACTAGAGCTGCGAATGAGCACGTCTTTTGAGTTTTGGAGGTGAATCCCGTCCGTGTTAGGGCTGTCGCCAGGTGACGACACCGTGAAATCATAAACCGAGACTCCGATGCAATTATCGAACTTTAGGTGGCACTGTGGGCTATTTTGAATTCTTATTCCGGTCACCGTCACGTTGAAACTCCCATAAAATCTAAGGGCCTATTTGGAAACAAAAAAATAAAAATAAATAAATCATATGTATTCTTAAAAAACACAAAATATGCACAATAGTATAAATGAATTGAATAATGAAAAATACATATAAAAATTCAAAGAAAAAAATAATAATTATATTTTAGCTTGCTAAGTTGTCCAATGTGTCATACTTTTTGTTGAAATATCATAGATTAAAATATAATATAAATAAAATTATTTGTGATAAAAAAAATAGTTTAGAATTATTGAAATTGAAAGTGGTGCTTACAGTTGGTTTTATGCTTGGCATTTTAGCACCAAGTGAGCTTCTTACCTGCCACGTGGAATATGATTAGGACCAGAAATAATAATAATAATAATAACAATAATAATAATAATAATAATAATAAAAACTTTATTGATTGGGGGACAAATGCAATTAGTTATATTTGAGGGGGATAAAAGGTAAATAATTACTGGAACAGGGGGCTTTTTGCTAAATGTCCAATTTGACGGGAAGATGATCTTTGATTGGTCGTCCAAAGGATCATCATCATACGGAGAATTATTCCACCAAACGGCGCCGTTTCCATCTATGGTCCCACTTCCCCTGATTGTAAGCCCAACTAATTTTGTGAACTCAAGCCACTGTAGAAGGCCCGACCCCCAATGGGCTGAGCCCGTTGGAGCAACTATTGTGCCGTCCAGCTGCACAAGATTTTAATTAAGCAAATGGGCTTCAAATTTCTATTAATTAATTAATCATGTATTCTTACTTGTTTAATTCAAGAAAACAACTTCAAGGGAAAGTATTTGTTTTGTTTATTATTATTATTATTATTATTATTATTATTATTATTATTATTATTATTATTATTATTATTATTATTATTATTATTATTATTATTATTATTATTATTTTGTAATTTACCTGGAAAACAATGTTGTGTTGACAATATGGGCCGGAAAATGAAATGGGCCCAACAAGGAACACATATTCTGCTGGGACAATAATGGATGAGGCCTCAGCCTTGCAAGCAGCAGCCCAAGCAGCTTGGAATGCCTGCATTTTTCTCAACATTATTTTACATTTTTTCATTAATTTCAAAACTGAGTTACTAATTTTATGTAAAAAAATTAAGTTTGAAAAAAATAATAATGAATAATTAAAAAAAATAAAAAAAGGCTGGAAAATTTCTGGTTGGTCAAACATTGGTTTTGTGAACTTTGGAGTATTGCAGTTTAGCTTGTTACAGTTGTTTGTTTGTGAAGAACAAAAATTTGGGATTTATAAATTAAAGGTGTGATTTATTTGGACCACAATTATTCTCTTTTAAATATTGAAGTTCAGTACAAAAAAAGTGATCATATTCCAATACAATAAGTGCAAGAGAGTTATGACATAATTACAACTAATATTTTTCCAAGGTTTTGCTGTCGAGATAATCGATGACTCAACTTATGTAATCATCTATAGTTATTCACAAATGATGTATTGACACGTAATAAATGCACATTGAACATGTGTCAGTACATAAAGTTATGGATAGCTCCATAAACGAGCTATCCGATGACTCCATAGAATTTCCGATATTTTCCAATGGCAAAAAGTTCGTTGCACTAGTAAGATCCAATGATAATTTTCCGAATGTCAAATGAAAATATTTTGGGGGAAATTTCAAGCATTATCATAAAATTTAGTCAAACTAAAAATTAGAGGTAATTAATTAAGTATTAAACAAATTAAAGACCCTTCATTTTATGTCAACATTTTACAATTACGTTATATATTGTATACTTATAACAAACAAACAAGGAAAAATAATAATAATAATAGTGCAATGACACACACATACCACAAAAAATTACACCACAAAAATAAATAAACAAATTATGACATAATCGACATGCATTATTGAACTAATTAATTTTGTACATTTATATATTTACCTTAGTGTCATCCTTAATTCCATCACCTTTGGCTCCAAAATCTATCACATTAAAAACATTCGAACAACTCTTCACCGGCGGCGGCGGCGGCGGCGGAGGGCTCTCTTTAGGCTCGCCGGACGGTGGTGGCACTTTCGAATTCGGCTTCGATTTTCCGGCGGAGCCTTTGCGGTGATTGTATCTATAGTGGCCGTGATTTTTATAGCTTTTACCCTTCTTGGAGAGTGATAAAACGGGGTCGTTTTGGCTTTGCTTCCATTTTCTACCCAATTTTGTAGCTTTACAACAAGTAATTTCAATATGTGAACACCACATAATAAACACAAACATGATCATAAATGTCTTGTTTTTTAAGCCACCCATTTTTATTTTTTTTTTCTAGCTGTGTGTGTGAGTGTGTTTTTGTAGAGGTGTTAATTTATGAACTGTAAATATGAAGCTATATATATATATATATATTTCGTGTAGATATAATTGAGTCATTCACCTACTGAAAATTCTAAAAGGAAAAAAAAAAAGGAAATTGAAAGGGAAGAATTATTGAAATTATGTCTTATTCTGCATGCACTTTGTTTTATTTTAATTTGAATTATTGTATTAATTGTATAATTGTCACTTTCCCTTTTGCCAATTTTTGGTTAATTAACTAATCAAGTGTTCCTAATTGTGCAGCAATTTTCACATATAAGTAAATGATAGTACGGTACTCGAGTACTATACGGGTATTGAGTTAAGAAATATATGATAAAAGTTATTGCTAAAATAAAAATTTTATTTAAAAATTTTGATGGACTATATGATGGATAAAAAAAAGAGAGAGAGAAATAGACAATTCA